AGCAACTACAACTGCACATCAACTGCAGAGTTTGGTAAACTTTCTCTGACCCTAAAAGTCTATACTCACTAGTTCTCTTTTCATATATTGATGTATAGATTTATATTTATATGTGTACATAAATATACACACATATTTTTTATTTTAATCCTGGATTATTTCAAATATAAAGAAAATACAAAGACGACCATTTGTAAACCACCAAACTTCTGTGAATCCACCCAATTTCCACCATGCATTTTAACCTCCCCATTCCTGTGGCCTATCTACACAAAGGAATATATAATATAAAGATTAATTTCATGAAAAAAATGAAAAGTACTTATTGTATATTTCTAAGGAGGTAAATAAAAAACTTTAATAAATATGTCTAACCATATGTCTAAAGGAAATCAATACAAATAAAAACATATTAGGGTACTTATGGAACTAGAGTTTCATCAGAACTTAATTCATTTACCAATTTTTGTAAATCACAAGATACGGAGAGCTTGAAAGGGAATATAAACATTAAAGAAAAGAATCTATTTCAAATGAATAATATAACTAGATTGAATGGAAACAAAAAAGAAATAGACAAAGTTACTTTTAAAGTACTTTATATACTTGGTTTAAAGAGAAAAATTCTTGTAAACAAGTCCTGAACACAGCCAGGTTTATTTTTTGCAATGCTATTGTTTTATTTTTTGAGAGAGAGCACGCACGAGTGGGGGAGAAGGACAGAGAGAGAGAATCTTAAGCAGGCTCCATGCTCAGCTTAGAGCCTCATGCAGGGCATGACCCCATGACCGTAGGATCATGACCTGAACTGAAATCAAGAGTTGGATGCTCAACTGACCGAGCTACCCAGTTACCCCCACAATGCTATTGTTTAGCAACTCAAAACTACTTGCTGTGTATTAAAGGATTGAATAATCAGTAAACAGATTGATGATCGTGGGAACTGATTTCCGACTATTGCAAAAGAAGTTAATATGGAATAGGGACAGACTAGACATACTTATTTGAAGTTGAAGGTATCTTCATTTTTCACATACATACATATACAGGAAGGACTGATACCCCAATAATGATAACACATAGCACGCAGATGTTGGTTTCTAAGTACCATTCCACTCAAAGGAATCAGGTCTTTGTAGAATCTGTGGCTGCAGCAGGCAGTATACAAGATAAACCCAAAATGCTATTAGACCAGAAATCAAGTGTTCATATTGATGATACATATAGAAAAGAGACACAGGGGAGAAGGGAAAGCTCCTGTAATGATGGAATGCCAATTGCTAGATATAGGAGGAATGATGGAGCAAGAAAGCCATCGCTTTGCAATCATCGCAGTAATAACTGATTCAGACCAAAGATATCAACAATAAAACTAGCAGGTGAAAGATTGTAATAAGGTAGTTGTTACACAAAAATCTCCCCACAAACTAGTTATTAATATCAAAGGCAAAACAGCAATTTTATAGTGGAGAAACCTTGAAGTTGTCAGTTTATTCAAATGATCAAAACTAGGATCACTGATAAATATGTTTCCTGGTTTAATGCACTGAGAAGTATGTGTCATTCATGGAACATGCTTGCCGCACTGATTTGAATCTAATCATGAGAAATCACACCAAAATTTAGGGATAGTCTACAAAATAGCCCATACTTTTCAGAGGTACTGATTTCATGAAAGAGAAATACCGTGGAGCTGATCCAGATTTAAAGATTAAAGGAACAGGACAACTTAACGACCTGTCTTAAGATTAGATCCTGGAATAGAGAAAAAAAAAAAAACTGTTATAAACATATTATGGGACAACTGTGGAATTTGAATAAGCTGTAGATTAGAAAACATTATAACCAAGTATGGTAATCTTAAGACACGTTTGCAAATTTCTTGACGCTCCTCTTATCAAAAGGTGGAGTCCGTGCTCCCTCTTTTTGATCCTGGATGGGTTTTTGTAACTGCCTCCTCGAATTAACACTGTAACTTCTGAGGGTAGATTAGACGAGGCCATAGTACTTCTGCTGATTTTTGTTAGGATACTCTGAGCCTCCACGTAGTGTCCAGTCAGTATGAAGTGGCTCTGCGACCACAGAGATGGAAAGACATGCCCAAGGAACCAAAGCTGTGTGGGTCCTCTCAACTCAGGTATTATACAGTTGAATGATCTGGTTGGTCTGTAATCACAGTGGATAACCTAAGGATATATGGGAATTCTGTTCTTGCATCTTTTCTGAATGTTTAGAATACGCTGAAAATAAAGGCTTTAAAATGCTCTCAAAACAAGTTAAAATTTTACTCTAATACCCCCCCTTTTAAAGGTAATTGTATCATACGTATACATGAGAATATTCTACATACATAGCACAGTATATCTAGAGGTATGAATATGATCTGATTACTTTTAAAGGGGACATAATAGATTGACATGCATCTATCTCCTACAAAACTCTGGCCACTCTTATTTGCATATCCTGGGTATTTACCAGTATTAGTAACCATAAGTTTATTTTTCATGTGATTTTGCATAGTATTGCACTGAATAGATAAACCATAAACTGTTTTGTCAACCCACCTGATGAATGCAAACTGTGCTATAACCAATAATGAAACAATGAACATCCTTTCATGCATCTCTGTAAACAGGTTCCCGTGACATATGGTGAGATAAAGCCATCCATAAGCACATCTGTAGGTATACATATTTGTTGGTCCACACATACTGGGAGGGCGCTAACCTAGTTTTCTCATGAAAGATGGTTCTCTACCTGCCATTATAGATCAAGGTCGTTATCTTTTTTTTGCAGTTGTATATCATTAGAACATATTTACTCCAATATTTTGCTAAGCATTTTTTTTTTTTTATAAAATTAAGTATAAGCATCCTGTGTCCACTCCCACTTTCCCTATAATCTTTTAAGCAAAGCCTCGAGTGCTATGATTGCCAGGTCAAAGGGTATTATGATATATATTGACCAGCTAATGGTGTTCGCTCCTAACAAGAGGCACTGAATGCTGAATGCTGTGCAAATGGTAATCCATCTAAATTGTTACATTTAATGAAATTTCAATAAAATTCAACAGGTTTCTTGCTCCATACTCCCTTTGGTGGGGGGCGGGGTGTGACAAAATTAATGTACTTGAAATCTGCTAAAGCCCCTGCCTACAGAGGTCTGGATGGGGGACTTATGCACAGAGAAGGCAAGCTGACCTAAGCCTAAATGGAAAAAGGAGAAGAAACCAATTATTAACAATTCAAGTTTACTAAAAAACTTTTTGTCATTAGTAACTACTCAACACTTTTAAAGAGTTAACAGTGAAATCTACCTTAATGGAGTAGGGTCCAAAATTCCCAAGCATATAAATTGTATCATGTTATTAGATTGCTTAAAAACAGTATTTTTCAGTCTATAAAATACAAATTAATAACATTAAATATTACACTGTACAACAGGGCTGACACACTACAAAGAACCAGGGCCAGATTGGGGATGGGGGCCATTCACCAGTGCCATCCCAATTTGCATTATTATGGATGGCAGTATTATGTAATTTTCTGTACTTGAGTATCTCCTGAAATTAATCTCATTAAGGCTACTTGCAGGATTCCTTTGAAGTATGTTATTATGAATTCAGGGTAGGGGAGTAGAATTTTCAAATACAGTAAAACCTTGGACTGCGAGTATCTTGTTCTGCAAATGTTCCACAAGACAGGCAAACGTTTCTAATATGTTTTAACTTGATAGACGAGGGAGGTCTTGCAATACGAGTCGTAGGTGATGCCCAATGTCACGTGATCACAAGTGAGCCAATGGTTCTCTCTCACCGAAGGATTCCCATGCTCAGATGCTCAGTCTCAGGCTGTGGTGTTCGGCGGAAATCAGTGATTTTTCAGAACGTTGGAAGGTACCCACAACAGGCACTAGTGTATTTTTATCACTTCAAAGCACCTATGGACAGTCCTTTGCTTTTCCATACAAGAGTAAGCTTAAGAAGGCTTTGCTTCATTCTAGGTCAGGCTGCCTACAGATTGAGACCCTTTCCTCTGCTGCCTTCTTGCCAGTTACATTAAATACAGTATATGACAAGAGTTTATTAATACTGTATGTAGCCAACATCCGTGCGACCACATACAAGGGCCCTGTGCAGAAGAAGAGTCCATTGAACCAATAGATAGCAGTGATTCCGTTAGTGACAGTGACCGTCATCCTACACAGTAACCCTCCTTTCTCTTGTCTCCCTCACACCAGCCACTAAGGTTTTCAAAGGTAAGTGCAGGTTAATTTATTTTTCCTTATATTTTATGATTTTGTATTATATTACAGTATTGTAATCATTTTTATCCGAATATTTTTGGGTTGTGGAACAAATCATCCGAGTTATTTCTTATGACGAAATTGGCTTAGGTATACAACTGCTTTGGATTAAGCATGTTTCTGGAATGAATTATGCTCACGTATGGCACACATAAAACCAAGGTTTTACTGTATCTGTCCTAATGATAGATTTTCTCCATTTTGTCCGGTAATTGCTGGGCATCTCTTATGAGCCAAGCGCACTTTTCTACACAGTAGAGATAAAGTAGTGAAAAACATCCCTCCCTACATGGAGGTTACACTGCCACTGACATTAATTTTACTTGTCCATCACTATACTTTTGTTAAAGTCCTGCCCCTAATCTTCATTTATAAGGCCTTTTTCCTGGGTAGACTGGGGTGAATTTTGAAGTGCTTTTATGTTGCATCTCGAAAAATTGGGACATTCAGAATGCTGGCACAAACACTGGCCGTATTTATGGAAAATGTTTTCTCTCGTCTGTGAAATCCGATTCGCAAAGAATTCAGCACCCAGCTGTCCTTAAAAGAGAGCACTTCACAGAGCTGCTTGCATGTGAAGATTCCTTGAGGCTTCTGAGTTCTGAAGGAACCGTTCTACAATTACTAGCGTCGATTTTCCAATGGAGATGAAGATGTGAACTCTGACCGAAGGCCACCCCCCACACCTCACATTTCTACAGATTTCCTCCAGTGTGGACTCTCTGATGGTACACAAGATGTGATCTCTGGCTGAAGCCTTTACAACAGACATCACATATGTATGGCCTTTCTCCAGTGTGGACCCGCTGATGTGTGTGAAAATGGGAGGCCTGACTGAAGCCTTTACCACACTGCTGACATGTATAAGGTTTCTCTCCTGTGTGCACCCTCTGATGAGCACTGAGCCCCGCACTCCAACTAAATTCTTTCCCACACTCCTCACATTTAAACGGTTTCTCTCCAGTGTGAATGATCTGATGGACTTGAAGATTTGACCTCTGGCTGAAGGCCTTGCCACATGTATCGCACTTATATGGCTTCTCTCCCGTGTGGACTCTCTGATGGGCTTGAAGATGGGAGGCCTGACTGAACCGCTTCTGGCACGCATCACACTTGAATGGTTTCTCCCCAGTGTGGACACTCTGATGAGCTTGAAGATTGGAGGCCTGACTGAAGCCCTTTCCACACTCTTCACATTTATAAGGTTTCTCTCCTGTGTGGACCCTCTGATGATTGTGAAGATTCAAGCTCCAATTGAAGCGCTTCCCACACACCTCACATTTGTATGGTTTTTCTCCAGTGTGGACTCTCTGATGAGCTTGAAAATAGGAACTCTGACTGAAGCCTTTACCACACACGTTGCAACGAAATGGTTTCTCCCCCGTGTGAACCCTTTGATGGCTCTGGAAACTTGAGGCTGAACTAAAACCCTTCCCACACTCTTCGCATTTATATGGTTTCTCTCCCGTGTGGACCCGTTGATGGCTGTGAAGGTTAAAGCTCAAGCTGAAGCACTTTCCACACTCATCACACTTATACGGTTTCTCTTCCGTGTGGACTCTCTGGTGGGTATGGAGATTTGAGCTACAACTAAAGCGTTTACCACAGTCTCCACACTTATATGGTTTCTCTCCGGTGTGGATTCTCTCGTGGGCCTGAAGATGTGATCTCTGGGTGAAGCCCTTCCCGCACACCTCACATTTGTAAGGTTTCTCTCCAGTGTGGACTCTGCAGTGAATGTTAAGATCTGTGCTACGACTGAAGCCCTTCCCACAACTTTCACATCTGTAGGGCTTCTCTCCTGTGTGAATGGGCAAATGGGCGTAAAGATGGGAGGTCTGGTTAAAGCTCTTCCCACACTCGAGGCACGAATAGGGCTTCTCCCCTGTGTGCACTCTCTGATGAGTCTGCAGGTTTGAGCTCTGGCTGAAACCCTTCCCACACTCGTGACACCAATAGCGTTTTTTTCCTGTGTAAACACTTTGTGGAATGGGCAGAGCTGAGCTATAGCGGGCGTCCTTCTCGTGTGCGCCGTACTCGGAGGACTTCTTTCTCGAGTGTACCTGCTGATGAAGTTCAAGACTGGGGCCATCGTTGAATGCTTTCTCACACTGATGACAGTGGTAGGTCTGCTGGACCAGAGGGGACACCTTTAAGATGTCTTTACCGCAGTCTTCGTTGTGAGGTTTATCGCCATCATGGTGGTGTGAGATACAACTAAAGATGTTAACGTATGGAGCAAATATACACAATTGGTTTTTCATCTGAGTCTGCTTACAACTTCTCTGGTAATTCTGTGTTTCGCTGAGATATATTTTACTCCAAGAATTCTGAACTCTCCCAGCCAGAAATTCTTGATTTTCAAGAATACTGGAATGATCCTCTATAAGGTTCATTATACAGCTGTCTTCCACGGAAGCCTGAATACATATTCCTGCTCCCACTTGACAGGGGGAATCACACTGTTCGGGGAACTCAGAACTCTTTCCTTGAATATTTATCTTGGAGTCTTGATCTTTGGTGAATTTGCTCACGATATGTCTCTTGATTTGCCAACATGAAAACTCTCCCAATGAAAGGCACCTTATTCCTGCTTCGTGAAGAGTCTCCTTCTCGTTTTGATTCCTGCCTCCTGAAGGGATAAAGAGAATAAAGAATCAGGGACAGAGAGACTGACATCAGCAAGGTGGTGAATTAAGAAGCTCCAAGCCCTTGTTCCGCAAAGGAAACATTTTTATTAAAAAAAAAAAAAAAAAAAAAAAAAAAAAAAAAAAAAAAAAAAAAAAAAAGAGACTAGCTAAAATATCTGAAAAACAAAGGTCTACAGCAAACAATAGAATATCCAGTGGAAAAAAACCCACACATTTAACAGGGAACAAAATTTGGGATCAGCCCAGAGTGAGGGCTTAAGGTCTTCTCAGGTCTTTTATTTATTTATTTTTGAGAGAGAGAGCGAGCATGCGTGCACAGGTGTGGGGTGCAGAGGGAAACACAGACTCTGAAGCAGGCTCCAGGCTCTGAGCTGTCAGCACAGAGCCTGACTTGGGGCTTGAACCCACAAGCTGTGAGATCATGACCTGAGCTGAAGTCAGATGCTCAACCAACTGAGCCACCCAGGAGCCCCTTCTCTAAGCATGCGTCTTTCCTTGGGGATCATTTGGGCGTTCTCCGTACGCAGCTACTTGTAAACGTACTGGCAGTTTTGCTTATGGTAAGGTGCTGTCTGAAGGATCCAGGAGCCCAATTCCCTATTTCAAACTGGACAGAGCAGACTTTGTGATAGTCCAACCCATCTGGGGTCTGCTGGGGGACTAGAGACCTGCAGAAGGCTGGGAACAGAGATTCTGTATGAAGGACTACAAGAGAACAGCTCTGTCCTCAAAAAGTTAGGGAGACCGTCTCTGGGAGTCTTTGTATATGAAGGAATTGAAAACCACACACATAGGTTCAGGCAAGACACATGCTCAGAATATGCCTGGGGAGACCCCAGGGTTCAGAACGCACCCTGCACATTAGTGAAGACCTTCCCTGGACAAGAGCTGGTCTCAAAAGATGTTTTTTCTAATGCCCAATTTGCAACAACAACAAAAAAATTAAAGCATACAAAACCCCCAGGAAAAATATGGCCTAGATTGGAGGGAATAAAATAAAATGGCAGAAATGAACTGTCCACGATGGGTAACGCCAATGCCAGAGTCTTTAGGACTGTCCAAAATATACTCAGAGGGCCAAAGGAGCAAGTGACATAAGCAGGAGGGCAGAGTGGGAAGGTCCAGCCCTGCTCCCATCCAGGAACGACAAGTAAAACACCACAGACAAAAATGACTTTGTGAGAACTTGGAAAACCAGTTAAGAAGCAGCAGCAACCAAGATAACATTTAGCCAAATAAAAGCTGTACCGGAAGCTGCAAAACTTCCCAGAGGTTTTGCTCGCCCACCCCCTCCTGGTGAGCGTGTGGGGAGGTTGGGAGGAGGCCGCCCGGGTCCTGGTTCCTCTCTCAGGAAGCAAAGAGCAGAACGTGCTGGCAATGTTCTGACTGATTTGGGGGCTGCTGCTGCCTGAGCACTGGTGGGAAGAGGGGCACGGTTCTGTGATGGAGTTTGCAGACCTGTGGGCACCTGGGGGGAAGAAATGATCAGGCAGAGGAATATAACCAAAACCTGAGGTCCTGAAAAAAAGCAGAGGTGGGAAAAATCAACATGTCCAAAAGCAGCCACACATGCGGGGGTGGTGAGGGATGGGAAGGAATGATGGAACAGACCAGGGTCCAGGGAAGATGCACCCCAGAAAAATGTCAGGCTAATGAAGGTCTTCCTCTGCACACAGCCAGTCCACAGACAGGTGGCTGTCCCCCGACCCCACAGGCTTAATTTTCAACAAAAGATCACAAGGCAAACAAAGAAACTCAACTCATGCAAAGGAGAGTAAGTATCTCTAAAAAACCAAACCTGTAGAAACAGGACTCTAATTTACTTGACAAAGACTTTAAAGGCTTTAAATATGCTCAATAAACTAAGAAATACTGACATGACAAGATAACGACATAAAATCACGAAAATGACACCTGAACACAATTCTGAACCTGAACAATGCAGTAACAAAACTGGAAACTTCACTGAGAGTTCAACAGCAGCCTTGAACAGGCAGAAGAATCCATGAACTTGGAAGCCAGGTCACAGGAAATCATCAAGTTGAAAAAGCAAAAGGAAAAAATGAACAGGGCTGAAGGGACTTCAAGCTGACAAGGGGATGAACTGTATGAGTCCCAGAGGATACGAAAAGGGGGTAGAGAACTAATTTGAAGTAATAGTGTCCAGAAACTCCAAAACTTCCACAGGATAAACTCCAAAAGACCTACGTTAAAATACACTAAAACCAAACCGTGCAAAGTCAAATATCTAGAAAGGAGCAAGCAGAGGGCAGTCCGTCACACAGAAGGGATCCTCCATAAGATCACGAGCGGATTTCTCAACAAAAACCTAGCAGGTCAGAAGACAGTAGGATGATATATGTAAATTAATGAAGGGAAAAAATCAGACAACTGAACATATTTCCAGTAAAATTGTCTTTCAAAAACGTGGGAGAAACAGACGTTCCAAGACGAACAAAATCTGTGGGAGTTCATTTCCATTAGACTTGACCTACAAGAAACACTAAAAGAGTGTTTGGAAGGGTACTGGACAATATTTGCACGTTAGAAAGAAATGAAGTTCTCTGCTAAAGGTAATATATGGAGACACTTAAAAACCTGTATAATTTTAGGGGTGCCTGGGTGGCTCAGAGGGTTAAGCATCCGACTCTTGACTTCAGCTCAGGTCATGACCTCACAGTCATGGGGCTCTCTCTCCTTTCCCTCTGCCCTTCCTCCACTGGCAATCTTTCTCTCAAAATAAACATTTAAAAGACAAAACCTGTATAATTTCGGTTCCTAACTTCACTTTTAATTCTGCTACTGTCTTTAAAATCCTATGGGTACACAATATACTTTTTGGTAGCAATATCAAGGGAAGGTAGAAGTTGTAAAAAGTGTTTTTGTACGTGGTTGAAGTTAAGCTCTTAGCAGCAGTTTAAAACAGATTGTTTTAATAACTTTAGGTATTTAAAAAAATTTTTTTTAATGTTTATTTTTGAGACAGAGCATGAACAGGGGAGGGTCAGAGAGAGGGAGACACAGATTCTGAAGCAGGCTCTGAGCTGTCAGCACAGAGCCCAACGTGGGGCTCGAACCCACGGACTGTGAGATCATGACCTGAGCCACCCAGGAGCCCCTAGGTATTTTTTTTTTTTGTGGTTACCATGGTGTTTACATAAACGTCCTAAAGAACGTACACCCAAAAAAAGAATCAAAATGCATCAACTACAAATAACACAAAAAGAGTAGGGAAGGAAATGAACAACAAACAAAGCTGTAAGACATGAAGATTAAAATCCCCTATCGAGGGGCGCCTGGGTGGCTCAGTCGGTTGGGCGGCCGACTTCGGCTCGGGTCATGGTCTCGCGGTCCGTGAGTTCGAGCCCCGCGTCGGGCTCTGTGCTGACGGCTCAGAGCCTGGAGCCTGTTTCGGATTCTGTGTCTCCCTCTCTCTGACCCTCCCCTGTTCATGCTCTGTCTCTCCCTGTCTCAGAAATAAATAAAAAAACGTTTAAAAAAAAAAAATCCCCTATCGAAAGACAGCTTGACAGAATGGCTTCAGAACACACGACCCAACTATATGCTGCCTGTAACAGACTCGCCTGAAATCTAAGGATGTGCACAGGTAAAAAGTCAAAGGATGAAACAAGATATTCCAGGCCAAAAGAGTAACCAAAAGAGAGCGGGGATGGCTATACTAATAACAGGAAAAAAAAAAAAAAAGACTTTAAGTAAAAAATGATTACAAGTCACTGTAAAATGATAAAAGTATTAACACACTAAGAAGACCTAACAATTACAAACACACATGCACCAAACATCAGAGCTCTTAAATAGGAGGCAAACACTGAGAATCAAAAGAAATAGCTCTGCAATAACATTAGGAGGCTTCAATACACACTTTTAATAATGGACAAAACAACTGAAAAGATCACCAATAAGGAGACAGAAGACTAGAACATTATAGTTATACATCAGCGGGGCCTATGTTAAGTCATACAAACTGCTTTTCCAGTCACAATGCAAGAAAACCAGACAATAGCGGAAAACAGGAAAACCCACAACTAAGGAGAAATTAACATAAAATAGATCAAAGAAGAAATCAAAAGGGAAATAAGAAAATACCTAGAGACAAATGAAAACAAAAACACAGCATATCAAAACTGATGAGATCTGTAGGTAAAGCAGTGCTAGAAGGGAAAATCATAGCTACAAATGCATACATTAAAAAAGAAATCTTAACTTTACAACTTAAAGAACTGGAAAAAGATCAAACTAAACTCACAGCTAACAGAAAGAAGGAAACAATAAAGAGAGAAAAATTAGAGAGTTGGTCTTCAAAAAAGATCAAAATGGACAAGGTTTAGCTTCATTAACTAAGAAAAGTAGAAGACTCAGCTAGAATCAGAAATGAAAGTGGGACAATCTTACTGGCCCTATAGAAATAAAAGGACTCTAAGAAAAAGCTATGAATATTTGTAGGCAAGCAAATTGGATAAGCTAAATGAAATGGGTAAATTCCTAGGAAAACGCCTACCATTACTAAATGAGAAAAACACAACATCTGATGGACCTGTAACTAGTAAGGAGATCAAATCAGTAACAATAAACTTCTCAACAAGGAAAAGTCCAGGACCATGACCACATACCTTTGGTAATACATTTACCAAAATCAAGAGAAAGAGGGGGTATTACAAATGATTTTATAGAAATATAAAGGACTTTAAAAGAATACTATAAAAGAGTATATGTAAAGAAATAACCTAGATGAAATGGACAAATGCCCAGAAACCCTCAAACTACCACGACAGAATCATGAACAGAAATCTAAACTACAAAAGTAATTACAAAGAAGAATGAACACGGGAAAGCGTAGAACCAGATGGCTCCATTGGAAAATTCAACCAAATATTTAAAGAAGAATTAACATGTAGGGAACAGCCCCAAATTCATTCTAGAAGGCAAGCATTACCCTGATTCCAAAGCCAGACAGAGATAC